TTCTTCAGTGACTTTCTGAATGAATTGCTTAGAGTAATTATTTTCTGCCATGGAGTGTTTCCAGGGTTTTCTGTGTAGTAGTGAGTGAATGACTGGAATGAGTTGTGACTGTACAAAACCAACAAGTATTCTAGTCTTTGTTCTGGGACTCTGTTGCTCTGTTGGAAGGTAGCTTCAATACACCAGAGGGTAGAGAATTCTAAGCTCTATGTTCCTATCTGAGCAGAGCTTCAGTGTCAATGGGAAAGACATAAAGCTTCATGTCTTGGTTGTACTCAGGACTCGCTCTGTGTGTGTGTGTGTGTGTGTGTGTGTGTGTGTGTGTGTGTGTGTACATTGTCCTCCACAAGTGTAGGGTTTAGATTGTCGAAAGAATGTGTGAAGTGTGTAGATCATCTCCACAATTTTCATTGTGATTTCATTCTATGGAATGTTTGCCACCGAGGAAACCACCAGAAAAACACGATATGACCACACTTTCAGCAGCACATTATTTGGGAATATTCCTTTCTAATCTAAGGACAGAAATTCTGTAGATCTATTGGTCCACTCTAACAATAATGTCTGCTCCAGAGAAAAGCTGTGCAGTAACCCCCCTCGGTCCTGCTCCAACACAACAACCCCTAAGGGTGTCCTTTCCCTGATGTGTGACTGCCCCTTTGTAGTCCATACACTGAACTGGGAGTGGAGCCTGACAGCACTGGAGGGTAAAATGCCACGTAGTTCATGGTACTTGAATAGCCTTCCGGGTTGCTGTAAGCCTCACTTGGTTTCCAGCATCCTGGGGGACCGAGATGTACGGCAGACAGGAGACTTTTCATAGTCTTTATCTTCTCATGTTCACTACTGACACTTTATAAACCATATTCCATTGGGAACCCTGGATTATCTGATCCTTGAGATCTGATCCCGAGAGTTTGTACTAGATTCCACCCAGCATAAGTTAAAACTCGTGTTGTTTCTTGGTCTTAGAAGACCCACTCTCTGGTCTTCAAGTGATTGATATGAGTGAGAGACTTGAAACACTGGAAGAGTGTCTCCTCATCTGTTGCTATCAGCATAGTGCAAGTGTTCCGTTTTCCTTTCCTTCCTTGCTCCTCATTGACTCAGTGCTGTCACCGAGGATGATGTTCCAGTAGCCACTCAATCTAGCCTTTAAAGCACAGCCATCTTGTTGTGTAAATTAAGCAGTGCTCTCTAAGGAAGCCATGGGCCACAGCACCAATGATTAACAGTCACTCTGTCTTCCTAGAAATACAAGATATCCCAGACATTAAACATATGATTTTTAGAAAACAAGAGTTGGAACCTCATGATGAGGTAAGGTGACTTTTCTTTGGCCAAAATAGAAATATTACTGTCTGAATTTCCTATTTCATTTAAGTTTGGCTCTCTAAACATAGTAGCATGTGTTATGCATACTGTGCTCTGTTTTATGGAGTGGTAGAAAGGTTCCTTACCAATGAAAACCTTATGGGAAAAGAGCTTTTATGAATGGCACAGTCAGGGTATAGGATGGACACTAGCATCCATCCCTCTTGCTTCCTCCTTGAATTAACTACCTTGTCATTGCAGATGGCTTCCACCGTGGTACAGACTTGTAAGTATCTGAAATCCCTCCCCTGTTGAGGAAATATCTTAGTGTTTCATTTCTGAGAAACCTCAGTCCAAGTTCCTATTGGGAAGAAAGGCTGAAGGTTAAATGAGAGAAAATGATTCTGCCATAGAGGCTCCATGGAAAATCCCAAGAAGAACTGGGGTTAATTTCATGAGAACCAGTGTGGCTTCATGTGATACACTCCCCTCAGATTATGTAGCAGATACAGTCCAGGTGGGGGAAACGGATGTTGAACAACAACAACAACACCAAGACCTCACTAGTGAAGAGAATCTTCCAGGTAAGTAACAATGTTCTGTGGAGATCAACAGGAAAGGGCTCAAGAAGCAGTCGGGTTGTACATTCTGCTTGCCAGGCTGAAGCAGTGGGAAAGGCATCAGTGAGATGTAGGAGATTTGTTTGATTCTCCTTCCAGCCATAGTGGTAAAGAGGAATAGAAGCACACACACACACACACACACACACACACACACACACACATGCACACACAGCCCACTGGCGATTAAAAATGAGCCAGAGAGTTGGGGGAATGGCTTTTTAAACAAGATCACTGAGTGCTCTACCAGAGGACGACTGGGATTCCAATCTCAGCACCCATATCGCTGTTCACATCCCTCTGCAACTCCACTTTCAAGGCATCTGATGCTCTCCTCTGGTCTTGATTGGCTCTGCATGCAAGTAGTACACAGGCATTTCCAGGCAACGGCTGAAATACACTTACAACTAAAAGCATTCTCCCCGCCTCTCTCATTGCAAAGCTCCAAGCCTTTGACTGTAATCAGTAGATCTCCTTGTGCATTGCTTGTTTGACATCTGTGTCACTTCTGATTGCTGGTTTGTGACAGAACTATCAGTTGAGTACAACTCTCTGTAGTCTCTGAGATGAACCTGAGTACAAAGGTCATGAAGTATGGGACCACTATTGCAGAAGAAGGAAATCCTCTTCCAGCTGGTCCTGCAGGATTTATCACAGCACCTCTC